TCTCTCTCTCTCTGTTTTACTGATATACTATTTTTATTTTAGATAGAAGTTTTTTAATCAGAATTATTTCTTACAAAAAAATTTTTGTTTCACAAAATAAACAACACCTAACAATATTAAGAAGAGCTATGAAGAATTAAAAACAGTAATTAGTAGTAGTTTTAAATACTAAGTAATACTTTTTAGTATTTAAAATTCCCTGGTAAATTTTATTTTCAAATTTTCAAACTCTCTAATAAAAAGAAATAATTAAATAAAAAAATTAAATAAATATTGCTTCTCATCGATTTGAAGATTTACAGCAATTATTGAATTTGACGAATAATCCTTCAAAAACTGGATTTTCGCACGGCATCGAAATGGCAAAATACTTCTCAAATAACCTGCTTTGCCAACACACGACAAGTTGTCGTGTCTGGATCAGCCGGAAGGCAGGTAGCATAACTCGATGTATCGCTGATATGCCAGTAAATGAGAGATTTCACAGTGAAAAATTGCACGATGCTCGGTACACTTGCATATCATCATTGGTTATTAACTTTTTCAAGTTTGTCGATCATCGAAATTATGTGGCAAATCTACATGCGCGGCATTGCAACCTCTCTCGCTTCCTGCGCGCCTTCTTTTTCACCGGCGATATACAGGGTGGTCTATTAGTAAAGCTTAGCTCTGCTCTGGGTTTCGCTCAATAGTGGTGGGGAAAACACGTGTATCAACGATGAAAGACAGAAAACTGGATACAATAAATACCACAAGTACAAGAAACTTTCATTTTGGGGTCATTTGTTCTCGCTGTCTTTTACTTTTGCATTATTATCAATATTAAGGTTATGTCTCCAATACTTTCTTGGCTTTATTTTATTATTTGCAACATATTTGTTTGTGACATAAAAAATTGTATTTTATATTTTATGTATATAATGTAAAAACTATTCCAATTTTGTAGAATGAAGACGCATTTTTCTTATACTTTCAAGTATATCAGCGATGACAGTTAATAGTAAAAGCAATAGTTCAATCGATCGGAAGAGAATAACCGTGTCAATATAAATTATACATTAAATCTTGTTGCAATATTTAAATTGGTGAATAGAAAATAAGACTAGACAGGTTACGTAGACTAAACTTGTTATATATTCAACTTCTTGTACAAGAATTATAATTTTATAATGTATCATGCTTGAAACATTTGCAAGATTTTCTTTCCCAAATTTAGTTTTTTATTCAATTTATTACTTCTTTTATTAATCACTTGAAAATAATTGATACTTAAAATTCAAGGAAAGGAATTCAACACTGTAAACTCTGTTGAAAGTTCCTCCATGTTCTACAAGAACGTTATATTTTAGCACCGTGAATTGCAAGTTGTGAAATTGAATAATACATATGCAGTTCAATGAAGCTAATAAAATTGATTGAAGCGATAGTGATAAAATAAGTAATTAAGTATGTAAGACACCTAACTTGGAACGATCGGAATCCTTAAAGCATTGTTTAATCCATCGGCTCCCTAACCCAGTCCCCTAATTGTTTCAAGCATAATAATGGTCAGGGTCGTTCATGGATCCTCCACACGAATCCATCGTCAATCATCGTGTCGCGTGACACGCGATACCTCCTTCTTCCTCTCCTACACACATAAATATAAACGCATACGTAACATTACTTACTATGCAAATGGTAAAAGTACACACACGAATAACCAATACACCGAAACTGTGTATACGTAAGAGAGCAGAGAGATGGAGAAATACCTAACATAAGAGAGATTGGTCGATTGTGTTTTGTGTGTGTGTACATGTGGTACGCGTGCGTGGAGACGTGTGTGACGTTAGGCGGTTAAATTAACGTGCATGCGAAGGTTGAGTGCCCTCGGGCGGTGTGGTCACGTGAACCTGTCTGCTGACACTTGCAGGCACTCAACAAGAAGGAACATAAGGGCGCCATGTCCCCGGAAAGTCCGGAGCCTGACGCGATCGAGTACAATCTCACTCCGCGCACCGAAGCCAAATACACGAAGATCGACGAGGAGTTCCAACTGATGATGCAGAGGCACCAACATAACGGCACTCGGGTAAGTGGAGGTCGTCGTTCGATGTTATTCGACGGCCGACTGACGTCGAGAGGACAGATGGGGAGAAAGAGAGAAAGTGTCCCGGCCAGGAAAATATGTGCACCTCGGACGGCTGGATAAATTGCGTGGATCTCTCTCGCAACGACGACGGTTCGTCGGTGATAGGTATTGTCGATCTTCGGCATTTTAGGCGTACAGCGCGTTGCTCGGAATTTTTGATTTTTGTTTCGTAGAATTTGATGGTGTGTAGAACATTGAGAATTGGTAGTATGCGGGATGATTGGACATTGAACTGGGATTGTTGACATCTCTGTTGGTGGAGTATTTGAATTCTAGGGACTTTTTTCCGTACATAGAGAAATTATTATTTCTCTATATTTCACATCTTGCCATGCATCTATCAAATTGGCATTTGCTGCGAGTACTTTTAAAATTTGATTGGTTGGTTAGAATTTGATGGTGTAGAGGATTATATCGTTTGAAATATTAATATGTCAAATATTACGTGTGTGTGAAATTCGATTGAAATTTTTATCGTTAGAATACTCGGGGTGCTAGGGATTTTCCTTCTTCTCTATATAAAGAAGTTGTATTTCTATTCTACTTTATTACATATCCCATATCATAAGTGTACCACTAAATGATACAGAGATAGTATTGAAAATTGAGAACTCTGTTATTCATTATTATGAGTGATTATTGAAATGTTTATTGTTCAAATATTCTCAGATTCTAGGAACTTTTTTTTGTTGGAATTGTACAATTTCAGGTTTTCAAAAACTATATATCGACTGCAATTCAAAATACTACATTCTACTCTGATTAATCATTTTAATATAAAAATGTAAAATGTATATAAAATTATAGAGATCTCTGAATCAAGTCTAATCTTTTATAAGCTAAAAAAATAGGCTTCAAGACAAAAATTAGACTTAGTTTTATGTTTATATTTAAATTAGCATTGGAATTAATAAAATGACAATACATACGCATATGCATTTTTCAAAGGTATAATTGACTCTATAATACTCTTTGAATATTACAACATTCATTTATGTTTTAGAATCACTCTTAAATCATTATGTAAGCATGAATTTAATCTACATGTATAACTTCATCTTTCTAGAACCTGATCTTAACGATGACTTGAAGGAAAAGATATTCTTCGAGTAACCGCCAAACATTTTCTATAATAAATTTACAGTTCAAGACGTTCTTCTTCCCGATCAGTTTGAAAACTGAAAGCGATTCAAAATTTTCAATGGACGGCTGTTGGTCCTCCTGTTCTTTCACTTTGGGAACCTCGAGCCCGGAGTTTTCACATGACTCGAAGCAATTTGTTAGTCCTCCTGGTTATATTTATTAGCTTTTAACAAACCGCCATCAAGCAATTTGTCAGTGACGCGGTTCGATTTAATTCGCACCGTTTAATTTATTATCGCAACATGTACCAGTAAGTTTACTCTTAAGCCATGCCATTGGCAGGCATTTAAATACTCTAAAATAGGCTGTACTAGTCACTTGTTAATTTGTTTTTACTTTCGTTTACTGGACTTATTGTATACGCTGTACACTGTATCGAGCTTCATCTGGCAGTAGTTAAGGTGGCATTCATAATTGTCTTGGCAAGCAGAGTAAGCAATAGAGCAATAGCTGGTCGTCTTGAGAATTTAAGAAACCTTGGATATTGTACAACTGTGAAAAGATTCAATCTTACTCATAGCCTTTAACATAAATGTAAAAATATGGTTGAGGTATCCTCCTTTTTTTTTTCCTTCTTTATGAATATACATATATCTGAGAATTACATTTATTTAAATATAAATACCTTTATTTTTGCAGAAATCTTGTTAATAGAAATAGATTTCACATATATGTATATTGCAATTTTCTGTCTGTCTATACAAATGATGAAAACGAATTCTTTTTCTTCTTTTCTTTTCTTGTGTGTGTCTGTGTGTGTGTGTGTGTTTTTCATTTAGCCGAGTATCTTATGTATGTACACGTTATATTTCTTTTTATTTTTACTGTTGAATTTCTATCTAGCAGAAATGGGCAAGGGCAAGTAATGAAGATGTAATCTCGAAACGAAGATCTTATCAGAATTTGCCAATTCTCTTGAAGCCCGTCATTGGTGAACATTCTGTTAATAATGTCGTCGTTGATTTACTGCGATTTCAGGCAATGGGACAATCCAATTACACTCTACCTGTATCCGTACCAGTGAATAGTTACGGCGAATCTCTACTTGGATCTAGTCCTCAAATGGCGCATACCAGCATTTCTCCAAGACCGTCATCCTCTGAAACAGACTCAGGTACCAATTTGTGAAATCCAACTCATAATATACAAAATCAATTTGATGTAATAAATCATTAGTAGCAGATTATTGATGCAATTCTGTATATATAGTGCCCATTAAGACATTGCGTGTTAGTCTCATTGTTTTTCTTCTTTTATTTAGTATATCCACCAGGAGGGATGTTGGAAATGAGTAACGGTTATCCACCATCAGCATCACCATTAGGAGGTTCACCTAGTCCAGGTCCTTCGCCGGCGCTAGGAGTCGGAGGAGGCAGCGCAAACAAAGGCAGTAATCCGTCTAGGCATTCACCACAACCTCCGCCTCCTCCACCGCCGCCTCATCCTCACAGGACTAATCTTCGAGTAGTTATTCCAACACCCCTTACGCAACCTCTCTCTGAAGATACTAGTTACGATGTTAGTACGCACTGTGCTTTATTTCAATGCATTTTATCCAGTGCATCTTGCAGAATTTTATTTCGAATTTAGAGAATTTCTTCTAACTGCAACAGTCGAGTACTTTCTGTGTTGTCAAAACTTTTCCTAACGAAGTTGCAAAAATTTTTATTCGTCTTCACCTTGGATTTCAACTCTGATCCGAAAGGGATTGTGAAGGTTCAAATTCCAGGTTTTTATTAATGCCGCTAATGTGTCATTTGTAACTTCGTTTCATTCTTTCGGATATAATTTAGAAATTTTCTGTAAAAATTTTCTAGAGACTTGGTAGTCCAATTGTTATGGCGCGCAGTTTCATTTGTTTTGGATAACCCTGAACTATAGTTGAACTATAGTTGAATACTTCATTTTAGTTTATCGTTGATTTTGTTTCTCTTATGTACAGAGTGGCCATGCACAATCCGCATTAAATACGCCAGTAGTAGCACTACAAACACCGTCAGTTCCAGCCGGATACTCTAGTTTTGGACCAACGGATTATTCCTCGGACCTAGGGAGTCTAGCATGGTCTCATCAGAGGTACGTTGATGACTTATCAATGTATTCGGCTGCCACCATGTCCAGCATCAGGTAAATCATATTTCATAATTATTGTTGTGAAAAAAAAAAAACTATATATCCAGTTGGTGTAATTTTTTTGTTTCACTTGTTCTAACAAATCATCTTCCAGTACCTTCTGTATTTGCCTGAAACGACGATAAAAATATCGAAAAAATAACGTCCACTGGAGGTCTATAGTTTTTTTTTCTTATTTGGATAGGAATTTGTAGCATACCACTATATCACATCAATATTCCATCGCGATTTAAAATTCTTTTCCATCCATTCAAACTTTGATTCACGCTTATTCGTTTGTTTCAATTCAGTAACTAAAACTATTCTCGCATCAATTTAATGTGAAACTTCTCTCGAATTGAAGATGCAAGAGTTTTGAACAAAAACATTTTAATCAATTTGCCACCTTGACTATTCAAACTTGCTCGCTGCTTTTTGCTAAGCTGGTGTAAAGGTTTGTAATAATAATCAACGTGTTGGCAAATATAAAGAACGATAATCTAAAAAAAATACAATACGAGGACTGCAATTCATTTACATACATTATAACTAAAAGATATGATACTTTTCATTTATCTTTGGCAATTGCTTATTTTCAACTTAGTTATTGTGCACCATTTATCTTCAGTTCAGTCACTGTGTACACAGTTTATAACTGTCTTACAATTTGTTTAACCAACCTTCTTTTTGATTGCAGTGGTCTTCCTCATCTGGCAGTGTCCAGCAGTACACCGCCGCCAGCCACGTCGCCACTACCGGTGAAGATAAAGAGTGAACCGATCAGTCCACCTAGAGATCCTCACGGTGGTAACAGTGGGTCAAACAGCAGCGGGCCGACCACCAGCAATCTTCATCATACAACTTTGAACGTAGGACCATCGTCCAGTACCGGTGCACCACCTCCACACCACGTACCTCATCCCGGACCACAGTCATTGAATCTTGTATCAAGCAGACCGAGCAGTAATCCACCGCCATCTCACTCCGGAAGTATAACACCGACAAACCTTCCGTCGCCAGGAAGCGGCACAGTGGCAGACATCCGAACGAGTCACTCGAACGCCGGCAACGGGGGCAACAACTCAGACTATGAGAACGGACCGCTGATGAAGCGTTCGAGGATCACTGAGGGATGGGCGACTTAATATCAATCGTAATGGTTAATCGCTCGATCGTTTCATACCTCTACGTACAACGGCGTATAGTGCTTTTGTGAAAAGTTCCGGGACTCAAAGTCGAAGACTCGTTAATTATTATACACACGGTTCGGCCACGGTTCTTTCTTTTTTTTTCCCTCCCTCCCCCTCTACTTCTTGTGATCGGGTGCGCGCGTGAAAACAAAGAACGACGATCCTTACGAAGATCCTCCGACTTTAGCTGGACACAGAACACAGATTTGTTTCTATTTTAAAGAAAAAAAAAAAAGCCCAAAAATACACGTACACGACACACATACATAATATTATGTACACGTACACGTAAAAAAAAAAAATACATTTGTTTGACAATTAAATAACGGTGCCATAATGTTGAAGCGTTACACGTATATATATATTATATTATATATATATATGATGGATACACACACATATACATATATATATGTACATAAACGCGTGCATATATGTATGTATATGTATATATATTTTCATGTATATAATGCGAAAGTTGTTTGTATATATGTCATTAATTCATTGTCATTTTCTTCGTGATATGGCATATTGTGTCTTTGATACTTGTCGCTAATGGCGAAGATTTATCGCTTTCCGAGTTGAGAAAGGAAATGGCAGTACGTTTAGGGTTGGTGTTGAGAAAAACGATGTGAACCGGGAGCACGATATTTCGGGGAATAAAGTGCATCGACAACCGAATTTTCAAGAGCTTGCGAGAACGTCTAATAATTTTACGGTTTAGAGATTTTCAAATAATTGTACTTTGTTACTTGTTTTTTTCTTTTTTTTTTTTTTTT